AAAGAATCTTTCGAAGAAGAAGGAGGAGGAGGAGGAGGAGGAGGAGAAGAGGAAGAAGAAGAAGAAGAAGAAGAAGAAGAAGAAGAAGAAGAAGAAGAAGAAGAAGCAGCCATTTTACCCATCACTCTTTGCTGTCACCTATGAAGCAGGTCATAAAACCTGGGAAGGATTTTTCTGGCTTTCCCCTGAAGTAGGACAAGAGAGCTTCATGGGGGTGGTACACCTCCTTTATCTTGATGAAGGAAATGTTGTCATCTTTAAGGACAAATGGACAGCAGAGGAGACTGAGCAAAGGGGCCAGAGGTGCCCCAGTTCATCGCCACTGGCCCACACACTGCACTGCTATCACTACCCACCTGCGTCAGACCTGCTGTACAAGACTCCACCCAGGCCAATCTGTTTGTTGGGGTCTTCATTTCCTTACAAAGGTTCCCATGCCATATAAAACTTAAGAGAAACCCGACACAGAACTGGGGAAATGGTGGGGTGTGGGTAGAGAGATAGCTCAGTGGTTAAGAGTACCGGATACTCTTGCAGAAGACTCGGGTTTTGATTCCCAGCACCCACAAGGTGGCTAATGACTGACCTTAACTCCAGTTCCAGGGGATCCAGATCTCTTCTGATCTCTGTGGGCATTGCATGACATGGGTGCACCTACCTTCATGTAGGCAATACACGCATACACATTAAAAAATAAAAATAAATAAAAATTTTTAAAAAAGAACTGGGGAAGAGAGTAAGAAGTCCCAACATTAGCCAAGAAACTATTGGCAGCTGATCACTGCTGCAAGAGGGAGAGCTGGTTTTCTTTAAGGGAGTGACACTAGATAGGCTGACCAGGCTCCAGTGGGTGGACTCACACTGAGGGACATATGAGGGTACAAGCTTACTTAGAAGTCTTAACATATATAACAGAATGTATGAAATCTGGTGGGAGGGCTCTGTGGGTATACAGATAGGGGAGGAGGTCTAAATATGATTAAGATGTATGAAATGCACAAAAATTCAATAAAATATATGTTAAAAACATTAAATCTGTATGCATCTCTGTTATTAATCTCTTTTATTATGGTGACCTCAGCCATGAGCTCAGAAATTTCAAATTGTGCATTTATGTATTCAAAAAAGCACTAGAGGAATATTAGGAAAGCCTGCAGACCTTAAAAATATTTACTCATTGTGTGTGTGTGTGTGTACGTGCACATGCATTTGTATGTATGTGCATATGTGTGTGATGTATGTGTGCCTATGGAACCCCATGTGGAAGCCAGAGGAGGATCTAGATGTCCTGCTCTGTCTCTTGAGACAGGATCTTAACCAAGCCTCAGCTCGCCAGACAGCTGGCCAGCCCTAAAGCTCCTTCTGTCTCCTCCTCTCACAGTGTTGGGGTTTACAGGTACATGTCATCATTCTTACTTTTCATGTGAGTGCTCAGGATTTGAACTCAGCCAGAATGCTTAAGCATCAAGTACTGTTATCCACTAAGCCATGTCCTCAGCACCCAAACTTTTGAGAGCAGATCGTACTGCGTTACACTGAAGACTGTTCGCCTCCTATTAGAAAGCAGCATGGCCTGTGTAAACAGCAATAATGTTCGCGTCACTGGCTGTGCTCTGATTCCACATATTTTAATCTCTGAAGGTTGAGCACTGGGCATTTGAGGAGAAGTGCAGAGGCTTGCTCTGGGACAAGTTCTTGCTATTCCCTCAAGGGCGTCATCTCTCCTAGAAACTCATTTCACATCTCATCAGCTGCAGGCATGACTGGGGAAACTGCTACTTCATCTTGCAGAAGTAAGAGTACAGAAAGAGGACTAAGAGAATAAAGGGCTAGATTTTCCCCTAATGAAACAAAGCTCAAACAACCCCCATCTCTGGAGCTTTCTGCTATTCTCCACAGGGCACATGACAGTGATCATCTGGACACATTTCAGGGTATTTTAGGAGTTGGAAGAGAAATATGACAGGTGTGTTTGTTCCAGGTATGCAGTTGCTCACTGAGTGATTGATGCTGTTTCGTCCTTTTGTCTGGCGCTTGGCAGAGTGGTTCCATACAGAGCTCTGCAGAGCCCTAGCAGTAAAAATATTATGACACATTTTGAAAGAGATGCTATCCACCGAACTTTCAAAAGAAGGCCAGTGTTTTTGACCTTCTCAGATGGAACAAAGGGATCAAGGGTTTTCCTCTTCAGATATTAATTGTGAAAAGAAGCTCAAAGATAACTTATTGTGTACAGAGACAAGAAAGGAATGTAAAGAAGAAAGGTTGCTGGACCCTTCAGATTACTTCAGAGACAATTATCTGTGAAGCAACAGGCATTTTGGGGTGTTTCCCAAATAAAAAAGGGGAAAAACTTAAGCCAAAACTTCCATCTGAGCTGAGTCAAGATAAAAGGGAAGCAGTCCACACACATCAAAGGCCTGAATTTGCCTGCCGATCCTCTCAGTTATTGCTGGGTAGATCTTGCCTCTTCCTAGACTATTTTAACTCCAACCTAATTACTGAATTCTGCATTTATCCTCGGGTACAAGTAAACATTATACAACTCCCATTCTGAGACTGAAGGACAGTATCCAATCTAGAGTTCATCAGTTCATGCAAAAATAAAACACAATGAACCCAGAGGACAGTGCTGTAGACACGAGAATAGCTGGGGTCGGGGCAGGGGGAGCACGCAATTCTCATGACTAAGAAACTACCTCATGGGGATGTAGAATCATGTGCTCCCCTCTTTTAAACTGAGGGTGGCCACTGCACCAGGGCCTTCTACCTCCCCCAGGTTGGAACATCAGTGTTGAGGCATTCATTCTCCTGTGGTCCTGCAGTCACCTAAGACTTATTAATGCCACAGTTTTCACAATAGCAAACAAAGCCCCCCACACTAGTATTTTTTTATGATTTTTATCTTTTTTTTTGAGTCAGGGTTTTTCTTTGCAGCTTGGGTCAACCTGGAACTTATTATATACCTGAGCCTGACCTCTAATTCACAGTAATCCCCCTGTCTCTGCTTCTTGAGTGCTGGGATTACAAACTTAACCCACTGTGCCCACCTCCAAAGAGACCTTCCATCTCTTCCTTTTTTTCTTGGATGCTGATAGAAAGAAACTCAAATAATCTTTCCTAATGTTACATTTGCCTCATACTTTAGTGTATGTTTTTCAACACACTTCCATATGACCAGGCTGATGATCCTTTCAGGCCTTGATCCACTCATCTTGAAAGATGAGCTCCCTTCACAGCATCGCTGGCAAGCTGCTCTGTAAGCTAAGGAGTTCTTCCGGTACAGCCAGCCCCAGTCAGCTCAGGGTGCTGGGTTCTCACTGAGCGGAACCTGGCTGCTCTCCTTCAACTTGTGCTCCTCAGTTTGCTCTTCCTGTTTATTTCATTTATTTTTGCATGATCCAAGAGCTAATTCCTCAGGTAGCAGTGAATATTGTTTAAAAAAATAAGCATTTCCAGAAAAAAAAAAACTTTAGCATTTAGAGAATGAAAAGGTCTCTGGCAATTTGTATTTTTTCTTTACTTTGCTTTTTTTTAAAAAAAAAATAAAAGAGTGCTTTAATGAAATAGAAGAAGGCAAAAAGAAACTCTTAAGTGAATTGAAAGAAAAAAAAACAAGTTGCTGAATGACAAAATTCAATGGAGGATATAAAACAAGAATCCAATAGAGTCACAAATGCTAAAAAATTAAATTGAAATCATATAGATGACAAGCTCAGTAGAAATCTCACCAACAGAGCAGACCACCAGAAGACAGAGTATCAGAATTAACAGACAGGATGGCAAACTAAACATTCAGACAACAACAAAGATAAAATGAGCAGAAAATATAAAAACAACTTATGAGGAGACTAAATTTATGAGTCATATGGATAAAAGCAGAAGTAGTGCAGGTTAGAGGCATTAAATAATATTCAATAAAATCATAGCAGAGGGTCAGGCATGGTGGCACACGCCTTTAATCCTAGCATTCAGGAGGCAGAGGCAGGTTGATCTCTGTGACTTCCAGGCCAACCTAGTCTGCATAGGGAGCTCTAGGCCAACCTGGTCTATACAGCAAGTTCCAGGCCAGCTGAGTCTGTCTCAAAACAAAATCATAGAAGAATAATTTCCAAATCTAAGGAAAGAGATGACTGTCCAGACTCAAGAGGCCTTAAGAACATGAATTAGTACACACCCTTCAATGATAATTCTGAATATTAATAAACTAAGTTCTCCAGGGAATCCAAAGCACTCTTCTGACCTCCGCAGCATTGCACCACACAGGTGCACTCACATACATGCAGGCAATACATTCATACACATAAAATAAAAATAATAAATAAAATATTTTTAAAGTAGGTTCTAAGGCCTGGTGTGGTGGTGCATTAAACAAATGAGTTTATTGAAGTCTATCCCTTTGCATTCTTTTATAATCACCTAGAGTTTTCAGCTGTAACTTGTAAACATATACCAGATTCAAGGAGGCTTTGAAAGGACTATGTCATGCATGTGGTTATTTAATCTAACAAGACTGCTGTTCATCCTCAGAGTGTATTGTGGAGATTAAAATCAGGATCCTTTCTTTAGGATGGAATTAGCCCTTCTGCCTCGGTTTGGCAAGTATCACTTGCTTAGAATTTTAATTCCCCAGGCTGGAGAGATGGCTCAGTGGTTAAGAGCACTGACTGTGCTTGCGGAGGACCCAGGTTTGATTCCTAGCACCCACTTGATGGCTAACAACTGTCTATAACTCCAGTTCCAGGGGATTTGGGGCCGTCTTCTGACCTCCTCAGACTTTGCACTGACATGGGTGACACACAGGCAATATACTCATACACATAAAATAAAAATAATAAATAAAATATTAAAAAAGAATTTCAAGTCCCAATCACACCCTTGGCTGCATGGATGATTTGAGCAAGCACATTAAATGCCATTTCGGGACCTCACAGCGGCAGACCCGGATGCAGTTGGAAGAGCGACATGCAACACTGGCAGGCGCCTTTGGGATGACATACCTCGTGATACTTTTTCACCGTTTTCCCTGAACTGCACGTGCAGGACTTCCAGTTGATGGTTCCACAGCCACAGTTTCCTCCACAGCGCTGCACCAGGAGGCAGCGGGGAAAGAAGACCACGTTGGTCAACTTCAGCTCCTCCCTGAGATTGACCGAATGATTCCTGGGAGTACAACTGTAACGCTTGACGTCATCGTTGAGCCTGTCCAGGTCCACTGTGGACAAACACACATGACCTTGTAAGCCGACACAACTGTAAGCAAAGATGTTTAGCATGTGCTTTCTCAAGAAGGTTCTGAGGAGACAGCCCCAATGCAGGGCTTAAACCTGTCCCTGAGATCTTACCGTGGACACATACATTAGAAACCTGATTCCTCCTTTGATTCCATCTGCCCTTCAAAACTAAAAACAGCGAACTACAAGGAAACCATTGGCTGAAACAGTAAATTTGGCTTGAATGTCCTGGCATCTTTGTGTGTGTGTGTGTGTGTGTGTGTGTGTGTGTGTGTGTGCGTTTTGTTACAGAGTTTCAAGTAGAACAGGGTGGCTTTGAACTTGCTATACAGCAGAGGACGACCTTGAACTCCTGATCCTCCTGCCTCCATTTCCAGAGTACAGGCATGTACCACCATGCCTTACCCTGGCACTTTTGTTTTTATTACTGTAAAATAATTAACAAACAAAACGAATGAACCAACCAAATAAACAGTTCTTAGGTTAAAAAAAATGAAACATTTGGCGATTTAAAATAATTGCCTTTATCTTTTTTTTTTTAAAAAAACTAAAGCAAAACAACACAAATGACTTCTTGATTCTAAGTCTCTGAGTCCCAGCCATTACCTGAATATAATTTGAATTATATAGGGGAAATATTAGGACACTTTAACATACGTATCTGTCAGTGAAATATTGACAAATATTATGTTGAAGAAAAATCCTTTGGTTTTCATGTGACTTCCAAAGTCAGCCATAATGCTGTTGGGAAGGGCAGGGCAGAGATGCGAACACAGTGTATGTGTGGGCATCTGGTCGTAGGTAGTACAGCGTATGTGTGTGCATCAGGTCCTAGGTGGCACTGTGTATGTGTGTGCATCTGATCATAGGTAGCACAGTGTGTGTGTGTGTGTGTGTGTGTGTGTGTGTGTGTGTGTGTGTACATCAAGTCCTAGGTGGCACGGTGTCTGTGTGTGCGTCTGGTCCTAGGTGGCAGTAGAGCACAGTGGTGAAGTGCTGGGCTCTGCAGGGAGATTGCAGTTGTAGCATTGTGGCTCTGCCTCCCTTTAGTTGGAAAACTATTCAACAGATCTTCTTCCTCCTCTACAGCATGTAAATGTTTGAAGGTTGAATTGGAGGGACCTGGTATTCACTGAATATTGGATATAATTATCCATCTTAATTAGCTTGATTCCCACCACTTTGTCTCCCCCTTAAAAGCCAATGGTTAAAATACAGAAAGAAAAATGCCAGGTTTTCTTCTCTATTTTTCTCTTTGGGACATTTTGTTCTGTGATTATCAAGTAGCATGCGGAACACAGGGTCTACTATGAATTAAGAGCGTCATACTAAATCTTCATACTAAGTCACTGTGATGTTTAATGTTGTTTACTTGAAAAGATCTGGAATAATCTAGGACACAGGATTTCAGACAGGCTTGTGATGGGTTATTTAGCCTTGGGCATGCCTGTGAGGGATTATCTTGATCTGGTCAATTGATGTGGGAAGACCTGTCTTAACTGGGTTAGCAACATTCCCTGGGCAGGGATTCTGGAGTGCATAAAATGGAGAAAGTGAGCTGGGCACTCGCATTCTGCTTCTTGAGTGTAGAAACGACGAGACAAACTGCCTCCTCAGCTCCTGCTGCTGTGACTTCCTCACAACAAACCCTTCTATTTTTTAAAAAATTGCATTTATTTATTTATATTTTTATTTTATGTGTAAGAGTGTTTTGCATGCATATATGTAAGGGCACTTGTGCATGCAATGCACCACAGTTATGGATGATTGTTAACTGCCATGTGGGTGCTGCGAACCTAACTTGGGACCTCTGCAAGAGCAGCCAGCACGCTTAACTGCTGAGTTGTTTCTCCAGCTCTGAATTCTTCTGTCTTAAAGGTGGTGTTTTTTTTTTTCTTTTAAATCATAGCAACAGAAAAGAAACTAAGATAGTCATAAATATTTACATCATTGTTGCACACATTACATTTTAAAATGTTTTATTTATTACTTTTGTTTTATGCATACAAGTGTACTGCCTGCTTATAGGAGGTACAGCCGTATCATGCAATGCCCAAGGAGGTCAGAAGAGGGTGTCAGATCCCCTGGAACTGGAGTTTACTGACTGTTGTTAGCTGCTATGTGGGTGCTGGAAATCAAACCTGGGTCTTCTGCAAGAGCAGCCAGCACTCTTAACTGCTGAGCCATCTCTCCAGCCCCATACATTACATTTTAGACAGTGTTCTCAAAAATCTACCCAATCACCCATCTAAATTCTGATTTGTGCACACCCACGTAGTGTCGTGCAAGACTACAGTTAGAAGGCTGTCCTTTATCCACACAGCTTGTGCCACCTGGTCCTAGTTCCCTTCTCTGTGCACCAGTCAGGCTACCCCGGGAGGAACTCCACAGATGGTAGGCAGGCAATGCCATCCTCCCCGGCATTCTAGACCCTCTAAATGCCTTAGTCTTAACCCAAAACTGCTTCAAGAGCAGTAAAGAGTGATCTCTAGAGCAGAGGTCAAAAGTAAAGGATGACAGTAAAATGCAGATAAGGAAAAGAAGGTACATACATGGGTAGAGTACATTAACTCCACACACTCAGCAAATTTCACCTAGAGCAAGACAGAGACTAGCCACATGGCCAGGAGGCCCTCAAATGGGAGTTAAATGGCAGCTGGATCGATGGCCTGTTCCGAGTGCCTTTTCAGAGAGGCAGCTGTGCTTTGATTCTCAAGGGCAGTGATTTATCCCTCATATGCTGAGCCCAGGACACTGTGGGGACTCGACAACTGCTAAATAATCACTGTGCATAATTTATTGCTGTTTTTCCTTCCTTTGTAAAGACATGTCATAAGTTTAGCTATAATCAATCCAGATTTAAATTGAATGAACTCTGTCTTGGGAAAGGAACCATTTTATTGCTGCTAAAGCCCTGCAAATAACTGCAAGCGAAGCAGGAAGGATTACATAAATGGATTAAGAAGTGCAGCAATCATCCATAACAAGTGTCACCTTGCGATAAATACTGATGCTGGCCTGTGCATTACTGCGCTGGTGGATCAGGCTGATGGCGAGAACCGAAGCTGCTGCCAGTGATAATGGCGATGCATTTGTCTAACACAGAGGAGTAAATTAGAGCTGCAATTAGCCTGGGGGATCATGATGCATGCAAAAGCAGACAGAGATGGGCAGGAAATACCAGACCAAGCTCCTTCACGGCTAGGCACTTGACACATGTGACTATGCTCTGTTGCTTCCCAAACTTTTGAGGAGAATAATCAAGGAGAAGAGTTCAACGGTAAAGCTGGACTTAATGACTTAGTTTCTTATGAAGCTTCTTGTTAGAAACAAGCAGAAAGGGGTGGTAGAAACCACTGGTGAAGGGAAGAAAACCAATATCCCTAGGCCTGTATCAGGCCTTCTAATAGGATACCGAACTGAGGTTAGGGTAATGAATTATATCTTTGTATGCAGGGTAGCCAAACCAAGTTGTAGCATGCCTTCTCCATGGGAGTTTATAGCTAAACCATCAGGTGCCTTCAGCAAACTAGACAAAACACAGAAAACTTGCTCTCCATTGGAAGCCTGCTCTTCACATTGTAGGACTGCTTTACAGACAAGCACATGAGCACTGGTCACTGCCATTCTTTATAGGAGGAGATGGACGAGGCTGTGCATTTTATGCATCTAGTCACTGATGTGACCACTGTGACTGCTGTAGCACCCAGCTGCCCTACCAGGGCACTGAAACCACTGAGGCACTCAATTTAGGGCAAGAGCTAAAAGGTTCTTCCAACTAGATGCAAATAACTTCAAAGCTGATTGTAGACGTTTTGCAGGGGATATTGAATTTCCAGTCACAGAAGACTGATTTCACAGAGCACAGAGTGGAAAGCAATTAAGGTGTCGAGTGCTCTGGATGGAAGAAGGACTCTGTTGTGAGCCTTCTGGGAGTGAGGCAGGCCACACGTCACAAACCTAGGGAGGAAGGCCACCCTTTCCTCCTCTACTTCCAACTGTGTGGCTGAATAGCACCCAGCAGAAAGGGTTTCCCAAGTTTAATTCAAAGGCTCATTCATTTCATCTAATTCCCTTTATTTCACACAGTGGACATGGTAGTATAACGCCACTTTTGCTTTCCTTTCCAATTTGAGTCTGGATTTTTTTTCATGGCTTTTTGACAACAGTTAAGGTTTGGGGGCTTTGCACTCTCCAAGGCTTCTTCAGAACACAGTGATCCAAGGTAGAATGTTGCATAGTGGGTTGGGAAGCATTCTACTTCTGCAGCCCCAGCCTCAAAGTACTTGGTATAGATTACTTGGGGTGTGGTAATAATTCTGTCTGTGAACCAGAATGGAGACATGAGTGTACACTTGTGTCTAGTTTCTAATAGATGAGGGCTTAGGTGTGGGTAGAAGACTCAAACGCGTCTTCTTCAGCACTAGTACAAGGAACTGTGAAAAGTTCATCTCATATCTGATTGTATGAAACCTTCCTAAATGCTGTGAGCTACATACAGGCATCACCCTCCTTTTACATTTAAGGAAATGATCCTTTGAAAAATTAAGAAACCCAAACTTGTCTTCAGCTCTTTTCTACTGACCTGAGGTTCTTGGAAGCAATTTAATTATCTTTATCTCTCCTCTCCTACTCCATGGCTCAGAATGGAAGGAGGAAATACAACTCATTTAAGATGCTTTTCTAAAATTGCTTGATGACTGCAATTAGAATCAGGGTAGAGCCAAAGAAAATACAATATGATGCTTGGGCCAGGTTTCTTTGTAAGGAATCTGTGTTCAGTAACTACTACATGAATGGATGGCTCAAACAAACTGCTAATATTCTTTTCAATATAATATTTCAGATCATACACAGAGGGAGAAATCATTCTAACCATCTTTTGGAGAGCATACAGATTATCATCTCCTATGCTGAGGGGCTCTTCTCTTGAACCTAACCTAGGGTGCGGTGTAAGCAACAATGTAAGGTCAGAGCTGAG